TAAGAAATAATTAAATAACAGCTATTTTATGACGTGAAAGAAATATGAAATGTGGAAATCAAGCCAGCCAGCTTCTACCTCTACATCCAGGAAGTTTAAATGTTGGAAGGAAATAAAAAGTGTCTCTCAAATGAAAAAAAACAAAACAAAACAAAAACCCAAAAACAACAACAACAACAACAACAAAAAACAGCTTCCAGATGAACCCAGGTTTCTGTGGTGCATGTTGAAGGGATTTTGATTTTTAAGCCTTCAGAGAGGTTACATCAGGAGGTGGTGAGGTTAGTCAAAGCTGGAGATCTACACATAAAACACTCCGATAGCCTGAGCTGAGCTATGAGAAGATACTGAACCAGCAAACAAAGAAAATGAACCTCCATAAATAGTCTTAGAATCCTTAAATGTTTTAATTTCTTTAATTTCAAAATGTTCTTCATCTCTGGGAATCATTATAAATATGTTCATTTTGTAGAACTAAGCATACTTTCCATTTATGAATTTCCTCTTGAAATTTCTGAATATGTTAGGTTCTGAACATATCAAAGTTTTTATAAGCAAAATAATGATTTATCAATGATGTGCAGGCAGGCCCTAATCTCCTGTGAATGTGTCCTCTGAAAGTCTGGGGGCTTTGCAGATGAGAGTAAGTATCACTTTTTTATTCCCCTCTCCCCGCCTTATTGCGGGTTAACTTTCACATATCAGAGAAAACATTCAACTTTGGGTTTTGGAGGATTGGCTTATTTCACTTAGCATGATATTCTCCAGATCCAGCCATTTACCAGCAAATGTCATGAAGTCATTCTTCTTTATGACTGATTAATGCCCATTGTGTAATAGGGCATTAATATTCAGGATAGACAAAGAACTCAAAAAACTTAACACCAACCCTCCCCTCAAATAACCCAATCAATAAATGGGAAAAGGAATTAAATGGATGCTTTTCAAAAAAAGAAACAGAACAGTCAACAAATATAAGGAAAAATGTTCAACATGTCTAGCCATTAGCAAATGCAAATGAAAACTACACTGAGATTTTATCTCCAGTCAGAATGGCAATTATCAAGAATATAAGTAACAATAAATGTTGGCGAGGATGTAGGGAAAATAGTAACACTCACACATTGTTGCTGGGACTGCAAATTGCTGCAACCACTCTGGAAATCAGTATAGAGGCTCCTCAAAAAAAAAAAAAATAGAAATAGGGGCTGGGCTGGGTTGTGGCTCAGTGGTAGAGTGTTTGCCTGACACTTGTGAGGTACTGGGTTCCATCCTCAGCACCACATACCAATAAGTAAATAAAATTACAAAAAAAAAATTAGAAATGGAACCACTATTTGACCCAGTTATCCCACTCCTCAGTTTATACTCAAAGGAGAGTAAGTATCTTAAAGGGAATGGTTGTTATGAACTGTATGGGCACACCCAATGTAAATGTAAGGGTCCTTATTAGGAAAAGAGGGAAATAGGAGAGTGAGTGATAGGATGATGGAAACAGAAATCAGAATAATGCAGGGTCATTTTCCAAGGAAGGGGAGCAGCTCAGTTGCTAAGTTGGAAGAGGCAAGAACATGAATTTTACCCGTCACCTAGAGAAGACATACATCCCTGCCCACACCTGAATTTGAGCCATGTGAAACTCATGTTGGATTTTGACTTCCAGGACTTTAAGATAATAAATTTGTGTGGTTTAGGATGCCAAATTTTACTGTGGTCATTTGTTGCAGCAGTAATAGGAAACAAATACCCTTTTTTCAATCCTGTGCCTGAACTTGACCTTGATGTGACTCTCCATCTGCCTTTCTAAGGGCTCTCGTATGTTTCCAGAAGTTCAACTATCTAGGCAGTTACAGAGTTTGAGTTTGGAGTCAAATATACCTACCCTCTGAAAATGTATAACCAAATCCCAAAGGGCTCTTTTCAGAATCCATGTTGAGGGGAGAATTCCAAGGACCAATTCTCCTGATTAAAACAAAAACAAAAAAAAAACCCTGTTTTCTCTACTTTGAAAAGAATTGAAAAAAACAAGGAAAATTATCTGCAATTAATCCAGGCATTTCTCACAGTATATTTTAGGTTTTGCTTTACATTCAGTTCAAATCACAGGAAAAAATTTAACTGCTCAACTCTGAGGGAGAATTGTGAAAAAGAGAGTAGTAGGGCTGGGGTTGTGGCTCAGTGGCAGAGCACTCGTCTCACATGTGTGAGGCACCTGGTTTGATCCTCAGCACCACATAAAAATAAATAAATAAAATAAAGGTATCATGTCCATCTACAACTAAAAAAAATATATATAGAAAAGAAAAAGAAAGTGGGGGAATACTTGACAAGCTGGTAATGTCAAGATTGTCACCTGGTGAACAAAAGTAATAATGATCAGCGCAACTTTCTGGAGAAATCTGTCACTGGATTTTGTACTTAGTTTCTGGACACAAGATATGTAGGAGATAGGACAACTGAGTTATTCAAAATATAATTTAAAACATCATAAACTCAATAGATATTTTTGACATAATTTAGCCAAAGTAAAATATAAAATTTGCTTCTGGGTCCTCACGAAGCAAAGGCATAAGTGAGGTGGGTGGGTCACAAGTTGGGGTCTGTGGTCTGGTGTTTTTCACATGACTGAAGGTAAAGTCAATAATATTTACCTTTTTAAAATGAGATTAAAGGAATCAGAAACAATAAATGCAAAATCACATTCAAAGTTTATGTAATTTACTAAAACTTGATTGCAGATATTGTTTAAGCACATGTAGGTTTTTAATGGGAAGGAACACCATAGAAAGGTCAAGTTTGTGAACTTGGTATAAGGAAAAGCACCAAAATAAATGCCGATAGTGTTGAGCAGAACTTCCTGGGATGATGTGCTGCACTCTGTGTCTTCTCTTCCCACAGATGAGACAGATTGCAAGATGTCTGTGTGTCTGAACTCTTCCATATTCAGTCCTTTAAACTCCCTGATCTGCCTCCTTTAACAGAAACCATACAGAACAAACTTGGAGGTTGTGATGTGTCCCTCTCTGCAGGTCTGTTACGGTTAGGTGTTTGGACACTGCCTACAGGAACCCCCTAGAGCACTATCTGAGAAATCCGCAGACCTGCTGTACCCTGATCTGTTGGGTGTGTGGAAGAAACTCGGCTCTTCTCAAAGATGTGGCCCTAGTCATTTACTTGTTTCTATCTTTTTCTTATTTTTCCTTTCCTGTAGGAGTATTAGACTTTACATCACTAAATGCTTCAGTTCCCTGTTTTCCATTTTCTCTCTTAGAAAGTCTGGTGTTTCCTCTTTTATCAGTGCTCTCCAACCTAGGAGGCTCCTAATAGTACCTTTTCCTTTCTCTCTCTCCTCACAATCTTTCTTACCCCTGAAACTCAGGCTTTCATTTCCCTCCATTGATTGGTCCTTCCCTCCCCAAGCTCAGGGAGCTATTTTTTTTTTTGGAAAACTCAAAGGCTGACATGCCTACTACACTATTACCTTGAGTCCCCAGATTTGTCATTACTTAATTTCCTTTAAAATGTTTTTACCTGGAAACAAATGGTCTCTCAAAGTCTGAGTGCAAATGAAGTGTGTCCAGTGTTTCACAGTCATGACTTACTCCCACAGGTGAGCAGAAGAATGAGGACTTACAAGAATTCCATTTTCATGACACCAGTAAACTAATTCTAAGTGAGCTTCTCGCATCAGAGTCCCAGGACAGTGACAGGAACACAGTATGCAATCAAAAGGAGTTCACCAGAGGCTGCACAGAGGCCAAAGCAATAAAAGATTCACATCATTTAGTAGATTTACTAGGGTACTTGAAACCAGCTGTTGCTTGTAAGATGTGGATACTGGTTGCCATACTGTAGGGAATGAATTTGGGAAGAGATTAGTTAATAGAAAGTGATCTGCCAATGTAAGAAAATGGTGTTTTCATTGTCAGGGAACAACTTAAATTTCCCAGTGCTCAGTCCCCAGTGTCATTTCTGCTTATACTAAGCTGTACATATGACTGCACCAGAACTGGAATCAGAAAGCCCGGATCCTGGACCTGATTCTGTCCGGCTTCAGTTGTGAGACATTTTGCCAAGTCATTTTACTCATCTTGGTTCTGCCCAAGTTTGGGACCATTGTGCGACTGAGATAAGGTAACACACTTGAAATGCAAAACAATCACAGAAACAAAACAAAATATAGGAAGTAAAACAGTGAAGAGTTTATTAAGAAGCCAATTGTCAACTAACAAGACAAAACAGAGCTGTCATGAAAGCATGGCAAAACGAGTCATCAAAACAAAATGATTGGTATGTGTCATCACAAAGACCTAATGAGAAAGTTAGTTCTAAGTGTTTTCTTTATAATTTAAAATTTTTTCTTAGCTTGGAAAGTCCATAATCACTTTGTAAAGACTGAGACCATGGATCCAGATCAAGAAGAGATGACATTGACAAGCAGCAAACTAAATGAAGAGAATATCAAAAGTAGATAAGACTGTACTTGCTGAGGAAGCTCAGAATCTGTTAGCAAGATGATGACAGTTTGATGACAGTATGGGCATTACTATAGAGAAAGGAGGGTGAGTTTGCCATACTATGGTATATGGAAGATCAGACAGTGCAAAGTAAGGCAGGCAAGTGGGGTCTGTGATAAATTGATCAACAACTGCAAGACTGGCAGCAGCTGGATCCATAGCCCTGGCCTAGGCAACCAGGCAGGCAGACACAGGTGGGGTGGTAGCATCTCCTTGTGCAGTACACGGGTCCAGAGCAAAC